AGATAGTAACTACCGATGGCTTGATTTAAGATATTATTTTTACTCCTTATTTGAAATTCCTGAGCACGTCCCTGGTAAGAAAAATTAATTTATTATGGAACGTGGTATTTTAGTAGGTAGGTACATACTACATTACTATACTAGCAGTATTACTCGCAATACGTATATTGTAGCAATACAACGCGCAAAAGTAGTCAATGAAAACGATATTAGTATAATGTTCTTGTAAGTTAAAAGTAAAAAAAAATATTATCTAACAAATTTTGGGATACATGAAATCCAGTATTTTTCCATTTGGCCAATTGCATTAGTATTTAATGACCTGATTATTTATACATATTGTCTTATGATCTATCATGTAATTATGTTATGAGCCTAATAGTGAAAAATCAATAACCACAAACTTTGATTACTGATGTTTGAAATTTAATAGAGAAATAGAGGAACATGAAATAGTCCAAAAGGGTCATTGAGGTTAACCGATTATACATTGAGTGATTTACAAACCATGTTCACTTTTATTTTTCATTTAATAATGAATTTATTCAAATTATGATTTTTTGAGTTTTTAAATAAATTTATACTTCATATAAACAAATATTTAAGGTTTTTTGTACTACTTATGAAGTTTTATGTGGTGATATAAACTTCTATTTTTCAAATGAGAATCCCTTCAATTTTTGTTGTTAGTTATTAAGCGGATAATTTTTTTTTTAAAATTATTAAAAATTTTATATCATCATAGTCATTATATTTTTCAAACCTATTATCATGGACCTAATATTCTTAGTAAATAAAATTAAAGAACTCAAAAACTATTCATTTGTATTAAAATGTCAATATTTTCAAAAATATTATACCCTAAATAGTTTGTTGTATAAAAGAAGATTGTAATTTGAAAAAAGAAAGTTTGTAGCTTTGCAAGATATTTCTTAGGTAAAATTAAAAATTTCGAAAATTTGAAAATATGGTCTTTAAGTATATTTATTAAAAATTCCAAAAATTAGATTTTGAATTACAGATTTGGTGAAGAAAAAAGGGGCGAACGTGCTTGGTGAATCACTCTGTATATATATATTTATTTGCTTACTCTGTAATCTCCAATATAATAGAAATAATGAGTACCTACCTAATATCATGGATTTATAATATAATACCAACGAATTACGTTGTATTTTGTTGACCCTAGTGTTTGAATGACCGGTGATGAATGATGGTAAATATTATCTACTCACTGTTCGAGTATAATTTTTTTAATTTTATATACCTTAACATTTTTTTCAACGTTATGCTATAGTTTATATTGAATAGATGCAATAGTGACAAATTATGAGATATAATATAGATATGGGAACTATACCCGTTCATTATCAATTACTATTCATCTAACTAGATGACTAGGAAGGAGAAATAAAATAGCCCATAAGATAACACTAAATTTAATCATTATGTATATATAGTCCGTAAAATAGCCAATTGACTTGTAATTTATTCATTGCTCATTTATTTGTTTTATTTAACTTAATGATATTTCATTTATTTTACCCTATTTTGTTATTTTGTCATAATACTGAATCAACACTTTGATACCTAATTATGTACGTTCATATATATATGCTAATGTTTGTACATATACTTATGTCATGATGTGATTATTTGACACTAAAAATAAACAACGGATGAATAAAATAAAAATGTTACGATATTTAAAAAGCAATGAATTATACATAGTTTCATTTGGAGTCTATAGTTATAATATCTTAGCTGATACTTTATGTTTAGCATAGATTTCTATAGTATAATTAGGTGTGCCTTGCACATACTCGTAATATTGTGTATTCAAAAAGACAATTTAAAATGATTTTGCTACTTAAGTTAATAACTTATCACTATTATTCGTTTTAGTTGTGTGTACACTATTCTGTTTTAATAGGTATTCTTTGGTATCATGTTTAAACTGATAATAGAATATTTTATAAATTATAATGCATAAATGTTAAAGTTTGTTTTATCAGAACAATGTTGTGTACTTGTGTTTATAAGATTTTGATTATGTGTTGGAAAAATATCTGGTTATGAAACAAATAATAAGTCGAAGAATACTTAAAAGGTATTGAATGTATAATATAGTATCACAGATCATAAGTATTTTAAAATATGTATCATAAACTTATTATTTGGTATTTTTATATTACCTATATATTTGTACATGGTACTAGATAATATATGATGCCAATATAATAAAGTAACAATTTTTCGATAGTAAATAGGTATAAATTACTCTAGTCTCATCGTCTATTAAAAGTTTTTAGAATTTATAAATAATAATTTCACAATAAATAGTTATCATTCGTTAAAATTATAATACTAATATCAAATATTTAAATAATTATTCAATTGAATAACAATAATTTAAAATAATTTTAGTGATTCATATAAGAACCAAATAAGTATCTACAACACATTTTTTTTTTTTATTTATAAACCTATGTGTTTTATACTTAAAAAAATAATTAAATCAGATTTAATTTAAGGTTTAATTCGAACTATTAGCTTAATGCAAGGTTAAATCGTATTTACAAATGTATACCATTATTAATTTTAAATTTCTTATTTCTTATTAATTGTTTATATACATATTGTAATATTGTAAATATTAGATACATATTTATAGTGTGTAATGTAATAGTTTTAAGTAATTAAATTTTAAATTTTAATATATTTTAAGATAACTACATTTTTTATGAAGTTTAAATGTTTATGATTGTCACTAATGTTCAAAATAGTGCTTTTTAATTAAATGATCATTTTTTTTAGGTGGGGTGATTATACATGGACAAATGCGTAGTTATAAATAATATTAGACTATTAAAAACGTGTTAGTTAAAAAAAAATAAAATAAATTCAAATTTCAAATGAATAACTCAAATATTATAATAGTATCTATTCCAATTTTATCACATTTATTAATAATAGTCATTGTTCATTAGATATTTGCATTATTGTTGCATTCATTGGGTAAGTGTATATATTAATAATTGGAACTTGACTCTTAAGGAATCACGGGGTAATGTTAGTTAAACATTAAAATATTTAAAATCACGTTGTGTACTTGTATCTTAATACTGTATAATATTATATTCTTATTTCATTAAGAGTTTTAAATTGTTTGCTATTTTGTGCACGTGCTATGAACCAAATTCTCCTTCATAAATATTTTACAATTACGTTAACACAAGAATAATCATAATCAACATGAGTCTTCATAAAATGTAGTGCCTATATGTCTTCTAGATGCCGTTTTATTTACTTTTTCATAATATTCTGTGGTACAATTTTTTTAAATTTTTTTTTTTATTTTTGATTAACTTATTAATATAATTAATTATTAAATAAATTATATTTTCATATGACAATTAGTTGTGATAATTTAGCCACTTGTCTTTGATATATTAAGTTATAAAAATTGTATCTGTAAATAGGTAATTTATAACTATTAATTACAAGATATTTTGTAAATTAAGTAGCTATTTTCAATCATAAGAACTAAATAGTTATAAAACATTATGCACCACATAATACAAATGATACATTCTTAGATTTATTATTAAAATAACTGAGAACGAAAAAACAAATACTAATATGTTAAATGTAGATATATTATAAACTAACAAATTTCTAAATAAGGTTAAAAAAAAAAATAAGAATTTCATTTGAATATTTTAATTCATCTTATTGATGAAAATAAAAAAAATAAAAATTCTTTTGAAAAGTTGAAGGCATGTGTCAAATAAGGTAAAAAGGATTTTTTTTAAAAATTGTATTGTCTTTACCTGCTCTTTAAGATAAAGAGAAATGCCATTTAAAACTTTTCTATTTTTTACGTTAACGTGTTTAAAAAACTGAATATCTACACTATTTTATACTTAAATATTGAACATAATAATTTAATATTTAATTAAACATTTGTATTATTTTTTGGTATATTTACTTGTTTTAACGTTTGATCGAGAACTATTAAAAGCAAATGTCGTCATTTAAAATTCGTGTAATATAATACTGTAATAGTTTTAATTTGAAGCTTTAAAAATAAATAAGGTAAGTATATTTTGACTTTTTGAGTGATCAAGTTTTAATTTTATATAAATTATTTTTATTTTATAGCGTACAAAAAGTTTTGGTTTATAACTTTTGAGGTACTTAAATAAATAATTTTGTTTTTACGGTTAAAATATATAATTTTAAATTTATGGCAGGTACTGATTTATATTAAATAAACATCCACGTACCACTATTCATGTTTTTCCTGTCAAGTTCAATTCACGTTATGCAAAGATTATATTAATAGTATACTTTTAAAGTTAAATTGTACATGATATCTATAGATTCTTGTTTAGATAGACCAAACTTGAAACTATTATATATGTGTTGTATAAAAGAAAAACACCCATCGTGTCGCTTACCTCTCGCACTTTCCATTTGACTATTCTGGAGAGTCAGCGAGTCGGGTATGTTTAGTTTTATATAGAATATATTACCTATATACTTGCGTCCATCTGCTATCCATTACTAGTATCGTTTTCCCTCGGCCTTTACACACAACAACGGAATTTATTTGAAACATTTTTATCATTTTTTTTCCCTGGGGTTAGATTTTAATGTCACGGATACCATATTGTCTCGGAGAATAATGCACTATAGTCTTACGCTACACACATTCGCACTCCTATAATAATACACGCACACGAACAAAAGTCCGATACACAATTACACAAGATGCACCGGTGTAGTAGTAGCTAGTGAAGGGCAGAGGCGGCGACGACAGGGCGGCAAACGGTTTACTCCTGGCAAAACCTCTTGTCAGATTCAGGATCGATCCTCCTCCCCACCTTGGACGCCCTCTGGTCGTCATGACCCAAAGTAATCGTCGCCGCCGCCACCGGGGGACGCATTCATACGTCACCGCCGTCTCCTGTTTTTTGGCCGATTCATGTGCCGCTTGGCTATCGTGTGATCTGGCCGCATGTTCATTCGCCACCGCTGGTCCGGTTACGATCGCCTCTCCCCGGATGCGAGTTGATTTTCGTTTACATAGAGTGGCGCCAAGTATGTATTTGTTCAGCATAATAATAATAATAAAATAAATTTAGTTATTATTTTTTTTTTTTATAAATATTTATCTAATTAGTTAAAAAATAAATCACATTTTTTTTATATCATTGAACTTTTAAGATATTATCATTATAATACCTTCACGTAAAATACACGTGCTTATAATATAAAGTTTAATTGATAGTCATTTCTATATATTTTTAACGATGATATGACAACGACATTTTAAACATGTGCTCGCTCGTAGACAATATTTTGATACTGGAGTTTAATGGTTCTGTAAGTTAAATAATAGGTATACTCTAAGATGAAAAAAATAAATATATTTACATAAAAACATTTTGATTTTTGTCAGTTATTTATTGGTAAAATATTTTGAATAAAATTTTATTTTATACCAATTAAATACATTTATTTTTAATATGTATTTAATTAATTGTAGTTATTGGTCACACTTTAATATTTAATGGTAAATAGTTACACATTGCAACAAAATATAAACCAATAGATTAAACAATAGATATTTAATGATAATTGATAACGAATCATTTCATGTAGTTTAAATAGATAATTTAACTTATCTATCTACTTATATTTAATCAATGTTTTAATATAATTATTTTATAATTTTTATGTGAAGTTAAAAATCATTTTTTTTCATATTATATGTAAAATCATATGTAAGTTATATTATAGAATCTTGTTTAAAATTTTTATTTTATAAAAAATAAAAATAAAAGTTTACGTATAGTTTATTTATGAACTGCATATAATATCTATTAAGGTAAAACGTTTATGTTTGAAAGCATTTTGATTGGGAAGTAAAAAAATTGATAAAAAAAAACTATCTTTCATTGAAATTTTACATCTATAGAGTGTTGTTTTGAATTTAAATTTCATCCGTGCTCATTAACGGGTGAACTTGAAATTTTTCAGTGGCAAGTCTGATATTTCACCTACCTTACAAAACTTAAAATACGATAAAGGCTTTCACTGTCATCTTTTTATAACTATAATATATAATACTTGACGTAGTTATTATAAAAATACTAGTTAATAAATATCACCAATGGGCATTATTCACCTACCCTCTGCCGTTGAAAGTCTAAATAGTCGCCTCTCGATTACTTCTTCACCACACTACTATTCTTGCTTGTTTGAAATATATACAATATCTAGATAAACGATATTAAAACTTTTAGGATCAATGTTTAGTGTTTTGGCATGTAAAAGCATTATAAAGTCAATTATATGATATCAAGACATATTGAAATCGGCTGATTTACAAAATCCTTTTAGTTCAGAAACACTAGAAGAAAATAAAATAAAATATACTTGGAGATATCTGATTGTTTTTTTAGAAGAATAATTTTGTTTAAGTTTTGTTATAATTTGTAAATACATTCTAAGTCTTAAAGAAAATATTATCTTAATATAATTATGTATAAAGATTAATATTTTATTTATTTTTTTTTTTTTCATAGCAAATTGAATCTAGTTTGTATTTTGGGTATTAAAAGAATAAATGTTGAAGTATTTTATAACAGTGCTTCTCAAACTTTTTTGTCATGGGCCCCCCTAAATTTAATGTGAAACTATCAAACCCTCTTTAATCAAAATTATTAGTTATTTTTTCTTAGCTATATATTAAAATAAATATTTTACTTCTCCCTAATTTGAAAATCACTCCATTATAATATAATCAGAGAACGAGAGGGGGAAATACGTGTAAAACAATACATAATATGCTTCTATTGGAATCTAATATATATTTACAGCTATTCTATTAGAAAAATAAATATTTTTCATAAATGGATATTATTAAAATGTATGTTATAAAAAACATAAATATGTTCCAAAATTAAAATGTTAGAAAAACTTCTAATTTTAATCAGCTTCAAATTAATTATAACACTCGAAAACTCTTGTACTTTGTCCATAGCAAAATAACTCTTAACCTAAGTTCTTTGACCGTATTTGGGTCATTAAACAAACACCATTTGGTTTTTATGTCTGTTGAAAACGAAATATTGGACATGTGGTAAATGTATGTCTAATAATTAAAAACACTTATTAAGTTACTTTTACTGAAAAATAAATAAATGTTGTCATTCGTTGAGAATTTAGATTTATAAAGAAATATTGTGATGTATTGGTTTAAGCGGTTCTTATATTTGTATGCTTATAACATATATTCAAACTTTGTATGTTCTAAACATTTATTATTTTATTTTAATACTTTTATATTTCACATTAAATTTTATAAAGAATTATTTGGTTATTTATTTTTTTTTTATTTCAAGTAAATATTAGTAAAATGATATGCCTATTGTCTATTAAGTTTTTATTTTTTGAGAAATAAATACAAGTAATTAAATCAATTCGTAAGACATTTAATTTTTTAACAATTTTAATAAAGTTTCAAAAAAAAAAAAAAAAAAAATGAAAATATTGATAATTGGTGAGTTATTAGTTATAAGTACCTATAACGTACTGTATACATCTATACATATCTTACGTTAACAACAACAGTTGACGATATGGTTTGTTTTATTATTTAATCACAGAAGTTACTAAATTAAAAAATAATAAGATTTGACTTCATCAAAAATGTATCTAGATTTTGTAAAGTATTGCTTTATTACATTTTATTATTAATTTGTGGTAGTCTTTAATTTAAAAAAATAGTTTTTAAAAATTAAAAACAATCTTATTGAAACAATTATTTTGATTAAATTTCCAATCAATAGAGATGCTGCAAGAAAATTGTATTGGTTTTAGTTTACCAAAGGAAGTATTAGCTGAAAAAAAGATACCCAGTGTCTAGTCTAAAATAATAAGTGGAATTTGAGATACAAATAATTTATTTAAACTTTTTAGGTACTTTATACTTTTTTGATAATATGATATTTTATTATATTTTAGTCTAAGTATATTAGTAGATATTTAATTTTGTTTTTATTACAATAGATTAATTTTAGTATGTCGCTCAACATATTCTAGGTGGTTAAAAGAATATAAAATATTACTTTAATAGTATGGTTTACCAACCAGAATTTAGTAGATACTATATTACAAAACCAAACCCTATTTTAATCAGTTCAATGCGTAACTGCAGGTATTAAAGTTCTATAAATAAACTAAAATATGTTAATTTTTATTAATTTATACACAATACATTTAAATTATTTAAAAATATTGGGGTAAATAAGTAAATATTAAATGATATTACAAGTAAATTTGAATAACTGAATATAAAAAGTTTGGTATAAAATATCTTATATATTATAAAATTTATACTTTTCATTCCCGAGAATTTCATCAAAATCATTAGATATTTTTATTAAGTGTTTAATATTTTTGTAATACATTTTATATTTCAAACATAAAAAAAAAAAATATTTGTTTAAAGCATTATTATTATTAAGCTCTCAGTATGTTCATGGCTTTAAGTAAAAGGGGAAATCCTATTAAATATTATAATGAGTCCATGACTATATAAAATTTTATTGCTTTTTAAAACTGTTGGAATATATATAGTAATCTATCGGTGTAATGATTTGTACACAGATATTGTTAAAATTACATGTTATGTTCAACATTTTTATATGTAGCCGGAATTATTATAATTATTATAATATTATTAATAATTTATAAAACTATTATAATTGTATTTTATAATTTTACATTCGATTATCTTATACTTTGATTAGTATGAAGATCATTAAACACTAATTTAAATTAAATTAGTTAAAATGACATATATGTATGGTTAATAGTTATAGTGTTTGTTGGAATTGAATTTTTGAATAATTGTAAATTTTAGTGTTGGGTATGCTTTTAAATATTCATTTTGTATCCCTAAATTTGTTGCTGACAGATAATTTATTATAATTTATGACAGTATTATATCATGTTTTATATTTACAAATGTTAGTATGTTCCTTGTTTTATGAAAATATAAGTTATTTATTTTTAATACAAAACTTTACATTTTTTCCAAAACATTTCTTACTTACATTAAATATTTTATTCAATTACAATATTAATTAATTAACTTTTTTTTTTTTTTAATTGTTGCTGTTACATGCACAAAACTACAACATATTTTTAAATTTTCACTATAGTATATTAAAATTAATATTATACATTACTGTATCACTATTTATTATAAATACCTATATTCTATTTATAATTTTTGTTTAAACATTTTTATACTCAAATTTGGTTTCAGTAGTTTTGTATTCAGATTTTTTTCTTAGAAAATGATGAATAAAATTTAATAAATTATGCTTTTAATATCTCTAGAACATAGGTTAATTATGCATGAAATAGATTGCAATAGTTAAAATTCTGTTACTTAAATTAATGAAATGTTTAGAATATTGCCAATGATGTGATTTCAAACCTTTATCAAATGATAACGTTCATTATCTTTAAGTTAACATAATTATACTCTTCGATAAATATTTTTTAGTGTATCACATTAGTAAAATGTTGCATTCGTGTAGATCAGAGGTGGGCAACTGGCGGCCCGCGAGCCTTTTTTATCTGGCCCGCACTAAATTTTCAAATTGCATTAGGTATAGGTATAGAATTTTAACTTATGTCCTATTTCATTATATACAAAATAAATGCTATTAATGACCTTTTTTTTTTTTTTTTGCTTTCTATGTTACGTATTTTAGTTATAAAAAATTAAAATATCTTAGAAATAATTATATTTTTTTAAAAATATTTCTATAGGCTACTTTCAAATACTTGATTAGGCTACAAGTTTGCTACAGGATATCGATAGAAAAAGAAAAGTATCACAGAGTGGGTTAACTAAAATTTCATAAATACTTCTTCTTTTAACAATAATATATTATTTGAATTACATCAAAGTCATCAAGATATGGATCTGATAATAAATCTAAAATATATATTTAAGGTATTAAAAATAATTTGCTGGATAGAAATGCTTGAAAATTTAATATGAATGAAGATTCTCA